TTTTACCAGGGTAACAATCGTATCAATAAAATTAACCATAATGAACAGACATCTCATATTTTGCAGAGACAATCTCGTTCTCACAATGTAGTCTATTAAGGTAGCATCATAATGTATTTAAGTTGCATCTCACTTGCAATATCATTCGCATGAATTTCGATAAAGAATTCTTGTGCTCGTTCTTGTTACAATTACGAGAAGATCAACTGGTGCTCAAGCAGCTTTTGGATGAAGAGATGAGTGATTCTGTATCACAAAGTTTTGTCGAGAAAGAGACCGTTACACATGATCATCCCAAAAACTACGAAAAGGAGTATTTACGTTACAAGAAGATGTTTATCATATGTTTGGTTACATCTATCATAATCTCTGTCATCTTCTTGTTCACCACAAAAGAATATTACAGAGAAATTGTGGAGATACAAAATAGGTTTATCATGTCACATAACAGAGATCTGGACCGAATCATCATGAACGTGAATCGGTTTCGCATTGGACCACAGCCCGTCAATTAATGCAAACAGAGCTGGTTGAAATCTGGTACCATTTTGTGAATGTAAATAACATGTGTACAAATTTGTTTTTATTCACGTGTTCAGATTGCCAAAATTAAATAAAGATATGCATAAATTTTATTATAAAATTGCTCATTTTTTGACCCAAAATTTTACGTTAAAATTCAAACAAAAAAAATCTAAACCAATCATATTGAACCAACCATGAGTAGATGTGATTATCAAGATGATTGTGATTGTCAAGAATGTATCGAGGAGAATGCGCCTCTTTGCCAGCTCTGTTTTCTGAACAGATGTAAGATAAGAGATTTTCCAGAATATGAAAAATATTGCAATATTTGTATTCCATCGAATGCTCTTGCATTTATCATTGGTACACAAAATAAAAAGAAAGTGCTCACGACCGTTGAGAAATTCAAAGAAGCATTTCCAAACTCTTTCTTTACATCGTTAATCGATGATGAATTCATCAAACGGGATGATAAACGTGTCTTTGAGGTGCCGCTTGAGTGTAATTATCTT